CTCAAACAATTACCTATTTATCGTATCCGTTTATTCTATAACCTTAAAACCTATCGCTGTCTTCTGAGACGATTAGTTAGAGGAGTTCGATCTCTGTTACGATGTCTCATATATCATATATATTACATTAATTTACTTGCGTAAAAAGAAATATAAATCAGTCCACAAAGTAATGATACTCAACACTGTCGCTCACAGAACGAGGTATCGTTACTGAATATGCGTATGTATATGAACTATCGATTGTTGTAACCAATGAATGTACATACCGCACTGAAATAAAGACAATATCATTTTTTAACAAAAATGTAACTCATTATTTTTACGTAACCTCTCGTATCCCGGACTTCTGGTAGGAAACTGGAAGTTTCTCCCTTTTTCAGTTTTAGGATTCTTGTATTAGGAACACATGAAAACCGAAGAGATATTCCAGGCTTATGATGAGAATCTTAAAATTTTTCGCTTTCTCAGTTTTCGGATTTTTGTATCAGGAACACATAATAACTGAAGAGGTATTCCGCTTTTGGAGGGAATCTTAAAACCTCTCGCTTTCTCAGTTTTCGGATTTTTGTATCAGGAACACATGATAACTGAAGAGGTATTCCGGACTTCTAGCGGGAATCTTAAAACCTCTCGTTTTCTCAGTTTTCGGATTTCTGTATCAAGAACACATGATAACTGAAGAGGTATTCCGACTTCTGGCGGAAATCTGGAAATTTCTCCTTTTCTCAGTTTTCGGATTTTTGTATTAGAAACATATGATAACCGAAGAGGTATTCCGGATTTTTGACGGGAATTTGGAAACTTCGTTCTCTCAGTTTTCGTATCAGGAACACATGATAACTGAAGAGGTATTCCGCACTTTTGGCGGGAATCTTAAAACCTCTCGCTTTCTTAGTTTTCGGATTTTTGTATTAGGAACACATGATAACCGAAAAGGTATTCTAGACTTTTGGCGGTACCTTTATAGCTTCTCACTTTCTCAGTTTTCGGATTTTTGTATTAAGAACACATAATAACCGAAGAGATATTCCGGATTATAAGGTAGGCGAAGGGGGAGTGGAAGCCCGGTTTGGGGTTGGGCTCCACTTCCCCGCTCCCTCCTCCTCTGGAGGGGAGCAATGGGGGGCGCGGAGGGAGGGTGGATGTCCCCTCCCTCTAAGTAAATACTAGAAGGCCAACCCGGCCGAGAAACCGATCGGGGGACCGCGCCCTGTACTCCCTTTGTGGGACAGAGCGCGGTACTCGAGGCGAGGGGCTCCCTGACAGCCCTGGAGCCTGGGTGTTGGGGAGGTAATGCGGAAGCAGTTCCCCTAACTCCCATTACTACGGTCCGAATGGTAGACATCTCACAGGGGTTTTAGGCAGTAAGAGTCTAACATAACCTCCGACCCCCCCAAAGGATCGGGGGTATCCATGATGAATTTCCCCTGCGTTAACAAAAAAAAAAATAATCCGGATTTCTGGCGGTAATCTTAAAATTTCTCGCTTTCTCAGTTTTCGGATTTCTGTATTAGGAACACATGATAACCGAAGAGGTATAACGGGCTTTTGGCGGGAATCTTAAAACCTCTCGCTTTCACACTTTTCGGATTTCTGTACTAGGAACACATAATAACCGAAGAGGTATCTCAAACTTCTGGCGGGAATCCGGAAATTTCTCCCTTTCTCGATTCTCGGATTTTGGTATTAGGAATACATGATAACCGAAGAGGTATTCCGGACTTTTGGCGGTACTTTTAAAGCTTCTCACTTTCTCAGTTTTCGTATTTTTGTATTAGGAACACATGATAACCGAAGAGATATTCCGGATTTCTGGCGGTAATATTAAAACCTCTCGCTTTCTTAGTTTTCGGGTTTTTGTATTAGGAACACATGATAATCGAAGGGGTATTCTGGATTTCTGGCTGTAATCTTAAAACCTCTCGTTTTCTTAGTCTTCGGATTTTTGTATTAGGGACACATGATAATCGAAAAGGTATTCCGGACTTTTGATGGTACTTTTAAAGCTTCTCACTTTCTCAGTTTTCGTATTTTTGTATTAGAAACACATGATAACCGAAGCGATATTCCGGATTTCTGGCGGTAATATTAGTACCTCTCGCTTTCTTAGTTTTCGGATTTTTGTATCAGGAACACATGATAATCGAAAAGGTATTCTGGACTTTTGGCGGTACCTTTATAGCTTCTCACTTTCTCAGTTTTCGGATTTTTGTATTAGGGACACATGATGACCGAAGAGATATTCCGGATTTCTGGCGGTAATCTTAAAACCTCTCGGTTTCTTAGTTTCGGATTTTTGTATCAGGAACACATGATAATCGAAGAGGTATTCCGGATTTCTGGCGGTAATCTTAAAACCTCTCGTTTTCTTAGTCTTCGGATTTTTGTATTAGGGACACATGATAATCGAAGAGGTATTCCGGACTTTTGATGGTACTTTTAAAGCTTCTCACTTTCTCAGTTTTCGTATTTTTGTATTAGGAACACATGATAATCGAAGAGGTATTCCGGATTTCTGGCGGTAATCTAAAAACCTCTCGTCTTCTTAGTTTTCGGATTTTTGTATTAGGGACACATGATAATCGAAAAGGTATTCCGGACTTTTGGCGGTACTTTTAAAGCTTCTCACTTTCTCAGTTTTCGTATTTTTGTATTAGGAACACATGATAACCGAAGAGATATTCCGGATTTCTGGCGGTAATATTAAAACCTCTCGCTTTCTTAGTTTTCGGGTTTTTGTATTAAGAACACATGATAATCGAAGGGGTATTCTGGATTTCAGCCGGTAATCTTAAAACATCTCGCTTTCTCAGTTTTCGGATTTTTGTAGTAGGAACACATGATAACCGTAGAGGTATTCTGGATTTCTGGCTGGAATTTGGAAACTTCTTATTCTCTCAGTTTTCACGTTTTTGTATCAGGAAAACATGATAACCGAAGAGATATTCCGGATTTCTGGCGGTAATCTTAAAACTTCTGACTTTCTTGGTTTTCGAATTTCCGTATTAGAAACACATAATAATCGAAGAGGTATTCCGGATTTCTGGCGATAATCTTAAAACTTCTCGCTTTCTCAGTTTTCGGATTTTTGTATTGGGGACACATGATAATCGAAGAGGTATTCCGGACTTTTAGCGGTACTTTTGAAGCTTCTCACTTTCTCAGTTTTCATATTTTTGTATTAGGAACACATGATAACCGAAGAGATATACCGGATTTCTGGCGGTAATATTAAAACCTCTCGCTTTCTTAGTTTTCGGATTTTTGTATCAGGAACACATGATAATCGAAGAGTTATTACGGATCTCTGGCGGCAATCTTAAAACCTCTTGCTTTCTTAGTTTTCGGATTTTAGTATTAGGGGCACATGATAATCGAAGAGGTATTCCGAACTTTTGGCTGTACTTTTATATCTTCTCACTTTCTCAGTGTTCAGATTTTTGTATTAGGAACACATGATAACCGAAGAGATATTCCAGATTTCTGGCGGTAATCTTAAAACCTCTCGCTTTCTTAGTTTTCGGATTTTTGTATTAGGGACACATGATAATCGAAGAGGTATTCCGGACTTTTGGCGGTACTTTTAAAGCTTCTCACTTTCTCAGTTTTCGTATTTTTGTATTAGGAACACATGATAATCGAAAAGGTATTCCGGATTTCTGGCGGTAATCTTAAAACCTCTCGTTTTCTTAGTTTTCGGATTTTTGTATTAGGGACACATGATAATCGAAAAGGTATTCCGGACATTTGGCGGTACTTTTAAAGCTTCTCACTTTCTCAGTTTTCATATTTTTGTATTAGGAACACATGATAACCGAAGAGATATTCCGGATTTCTGGCGGTAATATTAAAACCTCTCGCTTTCTTAGTTTTCGGGTTTTTGTATTAGGAACACATGATAATCGAAGAGGTATTCTGGATTTCAGCCGGTAATCGTAAAACATCTCGCTTTCTCAGTTTTCGGATTTTTGTAGTAGGAACACATGTTAACCGAAGAGGTATTCTGGATTTCTGGCTGGAATTTGGAAACTTCTCATTCTCTCAGTTTTCGGATTTTTGTATCAGGAACACATGATAACCGAAGAGATATTTTGGATTTCTGGCGGTAATCTTAAAACCTCTCGCCTTCTTAGTTTTCGGATTTTTGTATTAAGAACAAATGATAATTGAAGAGGTATTTCGGATTTCTGGCGGTAATCTTAAAACCTCCCGCTGTCTTAGTTTTCGAATTTTCGTATTAGGAACACATGATAATCGAAGAGGTATTCCGGATTTCTGGCGATAATCTTAAAACTTCTCGCTTTCTCAGTTTTCGGATTTTTGTAGTAGGAACACATGATAACCGAATAGGTATTTTGGATTTCTGGCTGGAATTTGGAAATTTCTCATTTTCTCAGTTTTCTGATTTTTGTATCAGGAACACATGATAACTGAAGAGGTATTCCGCACTTTTGGCGGGAATCTTATAACTTCTCGCTTTCTCAGTTTTCGGATTTTTATATTAAGAACACATGATAACCGAAGAGATATTCCGAACTTTTGGTGGGAATCTGGAAATTTCTCCAAAGAGATATCCCGAATAAATTTAGTCAAAAACGTGGTCATTACTCGCGGCCAAGTGGTCGTCGTGAAATTCCTGCCGTGCTTTTATGCCTTGTATAATTTAATTTTCATCTTTAAAGCAGGGAAAAAGGAGAAGAGGTTGTCCCCGAGGGTTTATAATTATAATTAATGAATATGTAAACCTTAATTGCTTATTAACTCTGGTTTTATTTTGCAAATAATTTTACTCGGAGAACAATTTTCTCCGAGGTAGAAATACAAAATTTTCGAGCATAGGCTAGATATATATATATATATATTACCCGTATATATTGATCGTATATATTGCCATTAGTATTATTATAATTATATTATAATTAATCTTCTTGCTCGGCAGTAAGTATAGAATAAATACTATATATGTATATGTACAAAGAATAACATTATTGCCCATACTCACTGTCATAGGCAATGTGCCTATCTCATATTAACAGATTGTATTAAATTAACGCATCGTAAATTAACAAATTAATTCCGATTTTATTTCGGTTTTATTCCAGTTTTATTCCGGTTTTAGTCTGAATTAATTTTCTTGGGTGGACAGATCACTCATATATATTAAATAATTTAATGAAGGTATCTTGAAGTTTTGAGGCCCGAGTATCGTGGGGCGCGTGATACAGGATGTGTGCCACGGGACTCAAGATACTGGACGAGCTATTTGAGACGCGTGTCATCGGCCATCAATTTTTTCTATTCGCTCTTCTCTCTTCGCTCTTCTCTCTTCTCTCTCCGCTTTTCGCTCCTCACTGCTTTGCTTCTGGCTCTTGTCTCCTCGTTGCGCGCCCCTCGCTCCGCACTTCATGCTCCATATTCTTTGCTCTTCGCTCTCCGTTGTTATGTTCCTACATGCAAAGAAAAAAAAATGGTTTGATTATATCAAAATAGAATTAAATGTTAGCCGCCATATAGCCATATCACGATATTTTTTGTCGCACTGGGAGAACAGGAGAATTATTACGCGCCCGGTTAAATTTGATACGTGTAAACCATCCTTAATGTTGAATCATAAAGAAAAACTAATTATTACGTTTCTTTTTTAATTTGATTTAATTTATTTAATTGGAAGTTAAACTTTGTTCCAACTGCAATCTAATCGCGTATAATAATAGAATGATAATGAAAAAGACGCTATGTAGAGTCGGTCTCGCGGTCCAATGAGCATTATTAGGCAAAGATTAGAATTTACAAAATTTGGATTTTACATATGTAAAATTACCTTTTGAGGCCGGTATTCACAATTGTTAATTATTCAAGATCTTTGATTAAGAACATAATTAATTATATTTGTATTTACGAACTGTTATTCCGCTATTTGCAATATTTCTTGTATAAAATAATGTGACACATACAAGTATAAATTATCCAATGATCGAAAATTAATGAAGTTATAATTATCCGCCGTATAACGACAATCTATGAATACCAACCTAAATTTCGATTTGCGTATGTCCTTCTTTTCTCGATAAGTTCGTCAAACTTCCATAAAAAATGGAAATCTGTATAATAGTTGATTTGACATCTGATCTGAAAATATATGATGCGTCGTTAGGTACACCTGGCCTTCTAGAACCTACGCCCTTCGTCGTTCATCGTTCACCTTGGTTTCTCGACTCAGCATTTTGGCTGCTCCGTCGTTGCATTGACACTGACTCCAATGCTTGCGAAGATGCAAAGATGCACGTATGAAATAAAATAATATCCACGAGAGTCTAATCGATTAATATTTTAATCACCCGAAGAGAATAAAGTAATCCGCGACGCGTGTATCACTTGCCGGCACGAACTGCAATGTCGTGAGAGCCAGCGCTCAATGATCCCCACCTTGAAGGTCGCACGATTAAATTCGATCGCTTGACGCAACGATCACTGGAAGGGGATATGCAAAGAAGAAGCGGCAAGCAAATCAAACGATCATAACTAAGCAAACCAACCAATCATCGACCGTCACTGCTTACATTCTCAGCTGTGATCGATTGGCTCGCTTACCTACTTATGACGTACTTTTTGTAAATATTTCTATATCCCCAGCTGATGTTTACGCGTTTCTAGTCTGTTATTTTAAGTTTCTCATGCATCCTATACCTTTTCGTGACTAAGTTTTACATTACATTTACACAAAATATTTCAATAACCTGTGGCAGTATTTAATTGGACTCTCGCTGACATGCTGTTAATTAACTAATATGCATCGTGTGAAGCTCGGATCTGTGCATTACTTTTTACTCGACAATGCACGGTGCTGCTTTTATTTGGGTTCAGCAATCTTGCCAACAAATTCGCCGGTAAAGACTTCTTCTAGACGCTCGATTTTTATTCGCCAAAATTAAAGACGCGACATCTAGTGAGATCGCTGCGACAAGTTTGGATATGTTCAGTTGTGACTACTAGACGTGTCTTTTAAATTTTAGACGCTAGCGAATAAAAATCGAGCGTCTAGAAGAAGTTTTCACCAGCGAATTCGCTGGCGAATTAAGAAGCTTGTTCAAAGCTTGAAGAGTGAGCATACGCACTTTGCAAGATCGAACGATGGTGGCTGATGCGTCGCGAACAATTAAGAATTCTGACGCGTTGGAAGAAGATTAGCGACTGCGATTACACCGAGAGAAACAAATCAGCGCTTTCTATCACATTGCACGGAATGTTTTCTAATTGTTCCTCTCGACCGCACCTCCTTTACTCCACTTTTAAAGAAAAGGGAGACGATTTCTTAAGGGTATTTTGTAGACTGCGCTATCTGGTCCGCGTCTCCAAAGAGACTTAATGAGAAAGGAATTAATTGTCACAAAGGGCGAGTTCTCCGCTGGCCTCCGATAGTTGCATCGTTATCGGCGGGGCAATAAGCGGCAGAGTCAGGTATCGCTTAGCCTTAAGGCCCGGGCTAAGCGTGGCGCAGGCCGGAAACGTGAAAATGATAGTAGCAATATGTGCGTGTAAGGCTGCTATCAACAACGCAATAACGTTTATTACAACGAGTTTCCTCGCTATAATTATTTCACCGTGCGATTATGGTCACAAACACTGCCACCGCTTCCCCGGCACACACGCACGCGCAACGACACGCGTTTTCCCTTTATTAAAAGCCGCAAGAAAAATGCAGCTCGGCACTTGAGCGAGATTCCTCGTTAACACAAACAAGTCAGGTGAAGCCGAAGGAAAATGTCGCGGCCTCTTGCGACCGATAGATGATCGTCCAGCTAAAATCAAGATGATATAAATGTATACAGGATATTGAAAAAAAAAGGATTCAGGACTTTGAGCGCGAATCGTACTCGCAAAATAGAGAAAAAAAGTCCTGATAAGCGTGAGTCGAAAAATTAATATCGTCGAAGTTAGGAACAATTATTTATTTTAAATCGCTCATTTAAAGAAAAGTAATCTCAGAACAAGCGGAATCATTCAAATTTTAGAGAATTTTACTCATATATGGCCTCAAGAGGATTCTCCTAAGATTATAAGGAGGAAAGTATTATAAACACATTATTCTTAAAGTTAGACGAGTTATATATATAATGCATATCTTATTGATTTTAATATAAATTTCCTTTTATACATAGATTATTTAATCTTTTTTTAAGAAGATTATTATTTATTCTAACTCTACTTTATTCTTACTGATTATATTAGTTAATTTGAAAAAATTATTATTATGTACAGCGAAAAGTAATATATGTATATACTGGGTGATCCGAAATTCCCGCATTCGGAATACAGGACATTATATATTTTATGCTAAAACAAATAACTTTTTCCTTTAACAAAATTGTGTCCGACAAGTAGTTTTTACAGGAGAGCGTGTTAAATTTAACGAATAAGCACTCTTGTCTATGTAGCGCTCAGGGCCGGCACGCGCGCTTCACTCGCGTGTACCTAGTCCGTGATTAGCAATCATAAGTAGTGTCTTTTAAGACGTTCATACGGTTCTGTTGTGATTAGTTTACGTTTACATTTTAAGACTGTGCTTAAGACAATTTTAAATAATAAGAATCAATTATGAACAATACCGAGCTGCCTTTTAACCTGCTTTCGTATTTGTATTGCTTAAATAATGAAAAGTTAATAAAATAAGTACTGCCTTTATTTCTTACGTAATAAATGAATAAAATGTTGTCTGGTTGCACAATATTATCTGAAAATAAAGACAAACTATAAATAGTAATATGTTTTGCGAGCTATGAGCGTTCTATTATTTCAAATATTGCACAATTACGTGATAATTAAATAGTATCATTAAACTTAAAGATTAATTTACTGATCAAGCGTATACATAGGAGTATGCATATTTGTAACAGTGATTAAAAGTAAAATATTTGAATTAATGTCTTTTAAGAGCTCTCTTTTTATTTTTTTATAATAGAAAATACGAAGAACTTATTCAAAATGTGTGATATAAAAATGTGTGCAAAATTCAAATTGTGTGATATATTCACGTCATGGTCTACATTTACTTATTATTGCTTATGCACGTTAGCCTTTCATCACGTACTTTCCTTACATGTTTTAATTATTGCGAGGAATATTGCTGTAGTCTCAATGGTCAAGTTGGTTAAGAAAATAAATCATTGAGGCTATAGCAATATTCCTCGCAATAATCGAAACATGTAAAGAAAGTACGTATTGAAAGGTGCTAACGTGCATAAGCAATAATAAATAAATGTAGACCGTGACGTGAGTATATTACACAATTTGAATTTTAAAAAAGTTCTTTAAGTTTAATGTTACTATTTAATTATCACGTAATTGTGCAATATTTGAAATAATAGAACGCTCACAGCTCGCAAAACATATTACTATTTACATTTGTCTTTATTTTCAGATAATATTGTGCAACCCTTTAAGGGGGGCCTTTAAGGGTTAAAAACCATCGAAGCGCCCGGACACTCACACTCGCCGATGCGAGTCCCTCAAATATCGCCGCGCGACGATTCAGCCGCGCGCAATCCCTCGAATGCGATTTGATTCGCACGCGTAGCCGCACCGTAATGCGAAACATCAAACTCGCGATCGGGATATCTCCCAGGACTCCCGACCCAACGTTCCTGCTTGGCCGCTTGCTTGAGGTCATGGTGCGGCCGCGTCGGCGACACGCGCGCGGCGATCACGATACGCGCAAATGAATTGATTTTCACGACGGCGCACATCATGCGATCCGGTTTAATCTCTAGCGGACTGTGACCGCCGGGCGCATTATTTGCGCTGCTATCGCGCACTGCTGTCGCGGACGAAGAGGACGAAGGAGGAAGGGAGGAGGCAGTCGCGCGCGACCGCCCGACAGCGAGCGAAAAGCGAGAGCTTTGCATTATGCATCATCGCTCCCGGCCGATTGTGCTTGATCGGCGATAGATAATCGGCGCGATCTCACCTTCCGTTCCGAGATCCGCCGGCCTACGGCGAGTCATCGAGCGCGCGCGTACGCGCGCTCCAACGATAAATCACGCGGCATATTAGAGGGGCGTAAAAGCGCGTGGCGGCGCGGCGGCCCACGTACATTATTTATAGGCCAGGAGTGTTAAAAATATTTTGCATATACACCGCACTTCGTATCGCATTTTAATTTATTACTCCGAGACGCATACTCCCCCGCCTGCCATCACGTCCGCGCGACAGACGGACGCGCGGGAAAAAGGAGTGATGAAAATAAAACACTCGATCGCGGCGAATCGCCCGCTCCGAAATGTTTCGCGCGCGCAGCTATTTCCAGGCGCGTAACTCGCGCGACATAACCGTGAGATTTTTCTCCGTAAGCCTGCGGTATTCTCCTCGATTCCGCGAGCGTCGCTTCAACCGATTCCGCCGCCGTGGCGGGTGCGAGCGCGCGTCTCGATCGCAATTCGCGGGGAACTCGCTCGGGCGTGCTCTGTGTGCGCGTGTGAGAGATATCCCACACGACACTCGGAAACTTGGCTCCGCGAGCGACGGCGGAGGAGTCGTAGGCACTCCTCCGCAAGGAAATTTCGAACAGCGGTTGCAGTCCGCCGCGATAAGCCGCCCTTCGGGCGAGACGACCCGGTTAAAGCAAAGGAACTTAGCAGACGAAGAAGCCGGCGCCGCGCGCTATCTACCACACGATCCGACGTAATATTACGCCGGTGCTTTCGGCTGCTTATTATTCGACATTACGCTGCGTGTATGTGTGTGGTTTTCCAAAAGTAACGGACCCCCCCATATCTCAGAATCTATGCATTATAGGGAAAAATGACCCGAACAAAAGCTATAGGGTTCATAAAGTTCTGTTTTTTCACGATCTCAAATTTGACCTTGACCTCAATCTCGTAGGTCATTTGAAGGTCAACTTGCGTTTTTTAAATGGGAACCCTTATTTTTTATTACACTATTCTTTTCCACCAATTAATTTGAACAACTTTTGTCTGAAACATTTCTTTTATTTGCCTAATATTTTTTGAGATATTTAATTATAATTTGATGATTTTGAAATTTCCAAAAGTCAGTAAGTTAACAAAAGTCAGGGCGCTATTGTAACAATATATTCTTGAGACTAACTAAAGCAAGAAAGTCTAGTACCACTTTTTCTTCCGACAAATAGTTAGCGAGATATCGTAAGTTAAATATTGAAAAAGTTATCAAGTTTTCCTCAAATATCTAAAAAAATATTAGGCAAATAAAAAAATGTCTTAGACAAAAGTTGTTCAAATTAATTGGTGCAAAAAAGCAGTGTAATGAAAAATAGGGGTTCCCATTTGAAAACCGCAAATCAACCTTCAAATGACCTTCAAGGTCGAAGTCTAGGTCAAATTTGAGGTCATAAAAAGACAGAACTTTATGAACCCTAACA